CCCTTTAATTTATCTTCAAAACACGAATGAAGGTATTTTTAATGAAACCTGAGAGTTTTGGTTAAACGGACTTTCAATGGAGGGACAGAAATCTCTGAAGATTAATTAAAAATATCTTCATTTGTGTTTCGAAGTTGAACAAAAGTCTTATGGGTTTGGAACGGCTTGAGGGTGAGTAAATGATGACCGAATTTTCTGAAAATGTTTGAGTGAACTAATCTTTTAAACCTGGCACAAGTTGCATTGGTTGGCACAACTAGTTGAAACAGACCTGACGCATTGACTAGAGGCAGAACTAATTGGCATCATCACCACTAGCTTCCTAGGGATGTGCACTGCGACTAATTTCACATAGTTTAAACTGAAATTTTGTAGTCGACTAGTCTAAAAGTATGAAGCCCTCAGAAGACAGTCAAAAACATTGTGTATATATGCAATACATTTGAAGTACTTAATCTACTAATCAAACAGTCAAATAATTCTAGACACCTTATCATCTAAATTGTTCTTATTTTCCATCAGATGGTTAAAAATGTGCAATGCTGACAGCAAAAAAAAGGTGAGGACGGGATGAATGAAAACGCAAATTCACTCTCTGACAGAAGGTGGCGCTTTTGGACAAGCAGAAATACAGCAGTTACCATGGTTACCCCTGTAAACAAAGCAGCACTGTGCTTATAAACACTATTTTATTAGGCATTATAAAGAGAAAACTTGATTTAAAAAAATAAAACTTTTCTGAAGAAAGTCAGCTCCCTTTAATTCATAATGTTTCCCCCGTTAAACTGGTAAATGCGCTAGTTTTCCAAGTGGACGTTTCTCCACAGCAAGTGACACAAAGAAAACGCATGCATGCATGCAAGGTCTGAGGTGAGATGAAATGAATGCGTTTTTCATTCCACATTTCAAAATCATGTATTTTTTTTCAACTAGTCGAATAGTATTTCCAATATCGACTAGCAGAAGCAGTTCAGTTTAGCTGACTAGTCTCGCACATCCCAAATTCCTACCACTAACTAGTTTCCACAAATATCTAAACGTCCATAAAACAAGATAAAACAATTTGTCAATGAGGTAAGAGCAAACTTAAGATTCTCTAAAAACATATTATGTCACATAATTTTGCTGCTCAGCTAAAATTATCTTGTTTTAAAGATATTTAGTCATTTTTACTGGAAACAAGACTGAAAACATCATTTTTTGCAGTGCATGAGGGTGGCCAAGAATCCGATCAGGGCTGTAAAGTGTCTCTAAACGGCTCTGTAAATTGGTTGCAATCAATCCTGGACAACTGTTGGACGATAAATTGGGATTACATGAGCATGCTCCTTCCAAACCTTTCTTTGCAACTCTATTATGAAATGTGTCACCACTCAAATGCCTGTCCACTTACAGAAATGACACACTACATTATTGGAGTTCCTCCATCACCTGATTGGTTCTCTTCCTTCTGCGCTGATTGTGTCAGCCTCTGTAAGGTCAAAGGTCTCCTCTCATGCTAAATGGCGATTCTCAGCCGCTTTTAGAGGCGTGTAGGAGGGAATGATGGAGACAGAGAGAAAAAAAATGAAACGAGAGACTCTTAGGCTGTCAGCCCCTCATCCATCAGGGCGGTATTGACACTGATGCACTGGCTGAAGAGACATGAAAGCGAGAGAGAGAGAGAGAGCCCAACAAGAGCCGCTTGAGCGCTGTTATCATCCTATCAATCTGCACAGTGTTTGGACCGGCAACCGGGGCAATGCAGACCACACAGTCAAACACAAAAAACACACATGAAAGAATGAAAGTTGAAAAAGGATTCCTTCCACACGAGATCCAGCATGCATACGCAACTGGAAGCTCTCTGGGTTTGAGACAAACATACTGTGGTAACTCTGTAGAGAGTAAAGGTGCGGGATTGATGATTAGAGATGAGACGTGGAGCTGCAGTTTAAATCTTCAAGCGGCTAATCACAGGATTAACAACCAAAGAGAGAGTGAAGAGCGGGGCAGAGAGGAGAGTGCTGCTTTAAATGCAAATCCCCGTCTTATAAAAATCAGTTCCATTTAATAGGATTTCTGAGGAGGGATGTGCATTTCTGCAGCGGGAGAGAAGTAGAGGAAACTTAAACACTTCGCCAAGCGAACTACAAAAAGAAGAGAGAAGAATAGAAAGTGCCATGTGTCAACATCGATTTTTTTGCATCACTACACCACTTAACATATATGATCGTGTGCCATTTTGAACATACAACTACTATTCTTACTATTATTTCAATGTGAATACTTTGCACATTGAGCAAGTTTCTTACATGCATTTATTATTTAAATGACTTGCTACTTTTACTTTTGAAATGGAAGCAAAATCCACTGTGATTGCGAAACACGATTGCATTGCTGCAATTGGATTAAAACAGAAAACAATTATCGCTTGTAGTGTGGCCATGTGATACCGCTTGAAAAGTTCATTGCATGCTGGTTCACAAAAAAACTAGCATGCAGTATACACTGCACAGTATGCTAGTATTCCATTCCAGACATAGCCAATCCATGACTGTGAGAGTGAATGCATGTACATATGACAGACATAGAGAAGAGAGACACAAATGAGACCGAGAGAAATAAGTGAATCAGTGACAGAAGGTGGAATGGATAAGCTCTTTTTTTCGCTCCAGGGTAACAGAAGACGGAAGACAGAAGAGTTCCTGAGCTCTGACCTCACATGAAAGCCATTGTTACCTCTCTCTCATTTAGCTGATATTTCCTCACAAAGGGAATTAGAGATCAGTGCAGTGATCCTCACAGATCTGGCATTAGTTTAATCTCACACAGGGGTTTGAGTTACTACAGAATCAAATCCAATCTCCCCCCTGCTGCTTCTGTTACTGACTTCACCATATTAGTCTTTACAACTGCCAAAGCAACTCCCCCCAGTCCCCCACATCCCATCTCAGCTAATTATCAGGTACAGTTACCCAATCGGGTCATATTGATTTGAGCAATATTCTGGTATGAAACAGGGGCCAAAATGAACACTTGCCAAAGGAGAGTAAAACCAGAAATAAAGAAATGCTAGTTAAAGCCTTCATGACGCAAACTAATTAAAACAGAGGTAGGGCCTAAAAACAGTCGAAACATGAGTGACTAAGTCTTCACACTACTTTCAACACTTTTTTCAAAAACATATTCCAGCAACTTTATTACATTTTCCAAAAACTGTTAAAAAAAACAATAAACAAACAAACAAACTCATCAATAAAGGTAACAGAGAAAATTTACCAGAGACGCTCAATGTGTTCAGAATGTGCACAGAAATCCAACAGAAAAATGGTGAGAACTATACCACAGACACACACACCAATAAAGAGTTAATTCTAGTCAAGAGTTCATTCTAATTCTATTCTAGTCAGTTCTAGAGTTTCTTTAAGGGTAAGGGACGGTAAGATTTCTTTGGAATCAATTGTTTCCTTTAATTGTCACAATTCTATGTAGAGTGAGTCACTGTGACGCATATTTGAAGATTTAAATCTAAGAGGTTTCATTTTACCGCGAAACCGGCTTGACGCTAGCGCTGTGATTTTTACACACAAAAGAAAAGAAAATGAAAAGTTAAATTATATGAAAATGCAGCTAGCCTACATCTTAATTAAGTAATGCACAATACTGCTTCGTGGCCAGTACATTAAAATTCCTAAATCAAACAGCATAAACCGATCTCTTCTACAGATCGAGACAGCGCCTCCGTTCCGGATTAAACGCGGGATCGCCTTCACACTTGAGAGAGCAAGCTACGGGATTCTGACACTCATCAGCTAATTATCGCGACAGAAACGCGTCAATAACTCATTAATTGGAGCCAGTGTTGCTGTTGGAGGAGCATCACCTGCGTGTGTCATTTTGGAAAGCGGGGAGCAGGTGTGCACGGCGCCATATAATGCGGAACTAATCCGAATCGCCCGTCCGTCACCGATTAAGCAGCCTGCGGCAAACTGATAGATTTACAACAGTCAGGTACAGTAACCTTTAGCTGAATCTACCACCATATATACCTCTGTCTGTGTTTGCCACTGCAGATTGAAACCTCCGTGAACAGCCATTCATAATTCTATTGATCAAAACGACTACTTAATGAGGTTACTAGATGGAATGTCCCCTGACAATTCAGGACTCAAATTTCTATCGACCCAAGACATCCATACATCGCCCATCCTCTTTGTAATTTAACATTTGCGTGTTACTTGAGATGCACTTATTATCCCTCTGTTTGATCCACCCAACGGCGATTTTCAGAAAGGAAAGACGACAAAAGAATGTCTTAAGAATGAAATCAATGTTATTAAGTACATAGTCTATAGTGATTACAGGGGCAAAGTAATTATATTGATTATTAAAGAGCTCTTTAAACTGAAAGCAACACTCATGTGAAAGCAGGGGCGTAGCAACCATTATAAGTGCACTTAAAAATGTTTTAATAAATCCCACGGTGTCTCCACTTTAAATCCCCATGCACTTTCTGGGAGTCAATTATTACTTTTAAAGTAAAACCCCCACCCCTCCCGTTTGTAGGAGTTTCTTTGTAAAAACTGATTCGTTTAGGAAAAAAACAATTCAACAAATCCAGGCTATTCAATTGTTCTTTGCATCAATAAAGCTAAACAATTACGCCAACTACAATAAACAGAAGCGTTTTACAAGCCCTCAATCTCACAGTGCCTCTGGTCACAAAGTAATGGACTACTAGACCATGTGTAGGCTAATAGATTCAGTCTTAATAGACATAACCCAGAATACTGCTAACTAGCCAAGGGATTCATGAATGCTTTCTCAAGGGCCACTGAGTCGTGAGCATGTAAAAACAGAGGACTGGGCGTAATGCCCAGTCAAAACAACGTATAATGAATAAAATAACACTGCTTCTGTTGTTAACATCCAATGTTAAGACACTTCTATATGTAACAACACGTCTTTCTCTATAAGGAGTCAACAGGTAGTTGCGTTTAATAAAATGATGGAGTTACCTTCATCCGCCGTTGTTTCGAGCAGGAACTCCAGCAGGATAATCCAGAGCGCGGCCACATTCCTGGAGAAGAGCTCCATCGTGGTATCACGGGTGCTTCGCTGGTGAATGTTTACAAAGATGGGCAAACAGTGCAAAGGTTCAAGAATCGTCAGCTGGGTCTTGCACCCATCAGGAACGAACAATCGCACGGCGGGAGTCGTCACAGGACAGAGAGAAGCCACCAAGTCATGAGAGAAAATGCTTTTAACTTCAGACGAACACAGTTGAATTATATGGAGAAAAACTATCTACTACTGTATCGGTGAAGTTTGCTATTGAAATAAAGCGGTAGTGTGGGAAAAGTGCAGTTTTAAAAATCACTTATAGCTTTCTATGCCAATCGAAATGCAAAATACTGTCCATATCTTTAAAGAACGCAAAACCAAACAAATCTCACAAATTACCTCTCTATCTACTCGCAAACATGTGCCAGTTTTGCCCCCCAAAAAAGAACGCCGTGCGCTCGGCTGCGTGGAACCCCTTTGTGAGGGCTGCAGGTCGCCCTGTCCTAATTTTCCACTCTGAGACGGGATGGCTTTTTAAAATCCAGCTAATATAACAAATCCGACAGGCCACTTAATTTACTGACAGCGCGGAAAGAAATGTTCGTGTTCGGCCGGGGTTTAAATCCCATCCGCGTCCTCCTCCAGCGAGCGAGCTCTGATCTACGCCAGTGGATCCACCGCGTCCTTTGTATCTTTAAAAACATGAATATCCTGCGGAATAAAAGCGATGCTTGAATGCGATCATACGCCAACTCAACGAGCGAACAATGTCTTGTTTATCCAATGGCGAATGCAGACAAATCGCGGAGCGTTTGGTCAAAATAATCACGAAACATGCGCGTTCGAGAAGGGGGGGGGAAATCTCGGCAAAAACCTAGAAGTTGGTGCGAGGCGTTGAGCCTTCAGGCGCTCGCAGTGGATGTGAGGTGGTCAATGCAACTGAAGAGAGGAGCAGTCTCCTCCTCTCAAAGCACCTCCTCCCCTCCACTATAGGCCAATTCACCACGCCGGTCAAAAAAGCCCAATAGATGCGTTTCCGATAATATTTTGCCCATCCAGTTAGTTAGGTTATAGAGGGTTGTATAAAGTTGCGCATTTGTTCCTCTTTAAGTTGCATTACTGTTTGCACTGTCTGTAATGATTAGCGAACTGTTTAGACCAGGGGTGCCCAAGCTCGGTCCTGGAGGGCCGGTGTCCTGCAGATATTTTTGACAAAATGTTAGTCCTGCACCCTGATTAGTGTCTTTAAGAAAAAGTCAAATATTGAAATTCATTACTTCATAGCTGTTTTGGGGCATGAATGCAACCATATTCCTTGAAGCAGCCAGGGAAATTTTTAAAATTGTGATTTCCATTGTTTGAGCCTGGAAATGCCGTGGAAATCAATTGAACATATTTAAAAAAAAAAAAAAAAAATTATGTAAAATTATCTAAAAGTAATGTAAACGTATTGATATAGCTAGAGGGTGTCTTTGAGTACCTTAGAAGCACTGTACCGTAAATGATAATCATCCAGTTCCATACTAAATCAGACTATCATGGCATTACCAGCTGATACCATCACTGTACCATGGAACCACCATAGTTCTTTTTGTAAACACGTCTTATCAGCGCTTAGATCAGCTCTTTCTGTTGACAACCCAGACCACAGCACCACTGACTTTAGCACAAAACCGCTTTGCATAAGCTGTCGCAACCTTTTTTCTTGAAAAAGTACGATGAAACCACACACGGGGAGCTTTTTTCCCCTCTTTAATTCCGATGCTAATGCATCTCTGGAGCCCTCTTCATCACACCTATGTGGATTGGTGTGTTATTTGGCTCAAGGATTGCACATTCACTCAGGTTCTTGTCATGCTAATTCAAGCACTTGTCTTCTGCCTGTAAACCATTAGCTGCTGCAGGAAGACCATGAAGGAAAAGTGTGAGACTTGAAAAGCTCGGAGGGAGAAAGTGTGAGGGCCTTTGAGAGAAGAGCCACTGGAAAAGGAAGTGAAATCATGCCGTGACATGTTTTATTTTATGTTTAACGAGTTGTTAAATGCATATGAGGACTGTACGATCAAGTGTGAGAAATCTGAGGCTAGCTCATGAAAAGTATATGAGCATTTAATCACAGAAGGCACATGGATATGTCTTCACACTTGAATGTGGCTGCTGTCACAGATCTTCTGTATTTAAGCTGCTTATGGTTGACAAAGGAGCTAAAGTGTCTCACTATGATTGGAACTCAATGTCTCAGCTTTCTTGTCCTCCTTCAAAAACAATTTATAATAACTTTGGTGAGTAAATGGGTCAAAACCAGTATACACCAATCCAGACCTAATCCAATGCATGCATAAAAATGCAGATATTTACACAAACGTTGATGTCTTTTTTACAGTTACAGCATGAAAACAAAATGTGCCTATTTACATGTATTATTCATTAGTGTATGTTATTCCATTGAAAAAGTTTGTCTTCATAATCTTTAATGAAAATATAATAACTGACTTTCCATTTAGGCTGACATTCTCCTGACAGCATGGAGCATAACCAAGCATGTGTTAACCGCTTCCCTCCATCCACTTTATCTGCTGTGACCAACAGAAAACTAGCATATTAAAGGCAGAGTAAGTGATTTTTCAAAAACACTTTAGAAAACTGATTCGGGCCGAATAGCAAAACAAACTTGTAGCCAATCAGCAATAAGGGGCGTGTCTACTCGTGATGTGGAGGAGAGCGCGTTCAGTGCATGGGACGGACATTAGCCGAGCCGAGCGACAGAAAGATAGAGATGGCGGATAAAAAACAAAAGAGGAAAACGTCTGCGGAACGATAAGGCAAGAAGTAGGACCCGTGTAAATATCGGATCAGCTTTCCAGCGCTGGAGAGAACTCAAGGAGCGGAGGCCTGCGATCGGACGCCGAGGTTGCTTTGTTTCTTCTCAATAGGTGAGTAACACCGTGTCTACAACAGCTAAAGTCTGCCTACACTGGACGCGATCAAACGACCGTTGAAAACCATTTGAAATGTGTGTCAGCACGTCATAAATAGAACCCGGCAGCAGTTTTCTGTCGGGGATTTGTTGCGCCGCTCACGTCCGTAGACACGGTGTAACATTGGTTTTGCTTTGTTTCACAGAACTAATCCTTGCCTGGGTTGCGTACGTATATGTGGGGCGGAGCTATCAAAATAGGGGCAAGACCCTTTTGGGGTAGGGGCGTGTTTGTTTTGGTGATTTCAAATATCAACATTGGCTACCAGAAATCACTTACTCTGCCTTTAATGCAACGATTCTGAGGAGGAAGAGGATAGAAATACTCATGTTTGAGACATTTCACTTGTGAATGCATTCAGAATTTGAAGTAAAATGAAATTTCATTCTTTAAACACACATTTTCAGGAAATTTTGTGGTGAATTCCATTCATTTCAATAGGAATCACTGCGATTGGGAGTTTTGGACAAGGACAAAAAAGTTCCCCCTGCAGATTTCACTTAATCATGCAAATTCACTGCGCTGACCAACAGAAAGCTGCTTGGTTTGAAACTGACTTCTGTGTGAGCTGTGCTTCATACTTTGCTACAGTACTGACAGCGAAAATTAGCCTAAATATCATTAATGTGACCTCAAATTTAGTGTGCATGTCGTTAGGGTTAGGGTTCCAAAAAGAAAAATGTTTGCATTTCATTAAATCTGTCATTGAGAGGTAATAACAGCCCAGTTTTATTACGTCATTAGTCAATGTAACTATTTTATGAGCTGGCAATTTCACATCTGATGTGAATTGTACAAAAATTTATGATTTTTAGAAGAAATTGAGTGAGGCCCACCCTTAACCCTAAACCAGGGCTGTCCAAACTCGGTTCTGGAGGGCCGGTGTCCTGCAGAGTTTAGCTCCAACTTGCCTCAACACACCTGACTGGAAGTTTCTATGCCTAGTAAGAGCTTGATTAGCTGGTTCAGGTGTGTTTAATTGGGGTTGGAGCTAAACTCTGCAGGACACCGGCCCTCCAGGACCGAGTTTGAACAGCCCTGCCCTAAACATAACTGTCAATGGGGCGTAAGCAGATCATACGAAAACGTACAAATGAGATCATACAAATTAGTCAACAATTAACCAAAACATAAAATAGTTCAAAATCGCCATGAGACTGTGTTGGTCAAAACATAATCTGCCTCTGAATTTACTTTCCATTTTGGCTGACTTGTTACATATAACCTTTCATGTTGACTTTAATATCACAAGGATCATTGTAGTACTGGTCTGTTGGAAGTTTCTCTGTCTGTCTGGACTGTGTGCTGGACTCCAGTAAGTGTGAAGAGCGGGATAATGGCAAACGTGTCCGAGGAGAAAGCTGGCGTGAAGACCTGGGAGTCACAGGGAGAGAGGTGCGAGGGGAAAGCGTGAATGGACGAGTTCAACTACAGTGTGTGTGAGGCAAGGGACGAGACAGCTAGAAACCTGCATTGTTATAGTTTTCTTCACACAGTCCAGGACTGACATACTGTCTGCCTCCTATAGGAGGATTTTGTTATTTTATAAATTTACGTAATTTTGATATTGCACACACATATAATCGCACCCGACTGACCCCTCTACAGTTCAAGTGAAATGAGCAGTTGTACCAGTTAGCACTGATCACACCCTAAAGCTTTAATTCCACTTTCTACAGTTTCCTCTTGGATGCGGCTACAGTTGCATCTCATATGACAGCACTGCCTTAACCCTATGAAACCTACTATATCAACATGATCAAAACTTTGCTGAAAATCCTGTTTTACACAATCTATGCATCTCTTTTTGCTGTGAAATCTTATAAAGCAAACATAAGAATAACTTTTACATTGTCAGTAATATTCCTCAATGAACGCTTACTAGACTGAAGCAGCTTAGCTTTACTTGATTGCGAGTATCAGCTATGCGCAGGCTTTTGAGGAACATTTATCTGTTCATCTCTCAATCATCATTGCATTGCATTATATGTTTTCCCCTCATTATAAAAACGACAGAGCTTTGATTATTACCAAATTTCATATTTTTGCTCAAGTTTTGGCCTCAGAATAAATTTGTTTTAACTCCGAGTATGAGCTCCATATTCTCACCATATCATACTATATAAGCCATAATGAGCCTGATGTATCAAATATGATATAAAGCAAAAAAAAATAAAAATCACATGGACACAAACTTTTGAAAATGATAAATGTATTTATTTATTTTTACTTTTTTAGAATTAAAAAAAATTGTCTAAAGGTATTGTTTAGTTAAACACAGATTTTTCTGACTATTATTTCATATGTCAGGCTTTACAGGGTTAATGATAACGTTGGATATTCTCAATCACGTCTTGAATACTAAAGTCCACAGCTTGTTCTAATCAAGAACTGCCCGTGTTTACCGGAAGACACGTCTTTTAAACAGCAACCACATTTTATTGGTTTTGTGGGATATTTAAAGGCAGGGAAACATAAAAAATGGACATAATCCTGGAATTTACAATCATGGATATCATGTTTAAAGTACTTGCTACTAAGAAAAAAAAAAAGTATAAATATTAGTTTGGCATACTCAAGGTAGAAAGATTTGATGACCGAGAAAATCCTGAGTTTTCCCCCGAATTGCATCTTTTTTGTTGGGCAGGCAAGTTAATTCTTGTGTAGACTTAAAGACTGTTATCTAAAACACACTAGTATCAGTATAATATACATAAACTCAGAGACAATTCACGCCGATAGATGGTAGTGCAACGTCTAACTGATAAGACACAGCAATGCTAATGCTAACTAAGAAACTACTCAATGCACCTTTGAAAAAGCATGTCTAAATGGCTAAACTGCATTCTAAAAGGATAATTTTTAAATACTATACATTTAAAATTTTTTAGACATAACATAAAGACATTGCCAGTTGCTTTAGCTGAATTCAAA